GGGGGGGGGGATGGCCACACTGCAATCCCTTCTCCTCCATTCTCCTCCCAGGATTTTGGGCATACACATGCTTGGTGAGTTTCAAGCCTCTGGGTCTGGGACTCGAACTGTGGTTGGCCACGTGGGAGTCCAGCAATGTAACCATTATGCCATCTGCTGGTCCCAGGGCTGAGCTTCTTCTAAAGGCAGCACACTGCTTATCTCTAAATGACAGCTACCACGTGAGAATCAGTTCTGGGGCTACTCAGTTTTTTGACAAATATTAACTGCATGTCTATCACCTGTGACTACCTAGCTGTTGTGATCCCAGGCAAATAACTGACTCTTGTGAACTTCAGTTTCCTCACTGTAAAATGGGTGTAAGCATAGTCCCTTCCTGATAAGGTTGTTATAAGGATTAAGTAAATTAATGATATTTATACATGAGTGAATATACATAAGGCTGAACCCTCCAGTTGCCACTCCCAGTACTCACGGCAAAATTCTTCACTCCTCCAGGGGTGGACAGTGGCCCCAGCAGCTTGGCATGCAGCAGCGTATGTGGCCAGTGCATCACACAGTGGCCCAGACTGGCCTGGCAGCAGGCAGCGGTCATAGACGCAGTCACGCACAGCCCCATGGGGGTCCAGAGTGTTGTGACACTCCCGGAAAGGCCCTTCAGGGTCAGCAAGGATTCCACACTCCTTCTTGCTCTGTAGCTGCTGAGCCACCAGGGAGTCAAGATTGGGACAGTCGCCTGGTTCAGCTGCTCCGCACCCAGGCCTTGTCTCTTCTAGCCAGCTGTTCCCAAAGGCCAGAGCATTGGCAGCTTGACCCCCACCCCGGAGAGCCAGGTCATCTGCTGAGTTCCCATTGAAGTTCCCACAGAGTCCACACAGGGCCCCGGCATAGCTGCTGGGCACTTTAACAGTCACACGGGCATCCCAGTTGTAGGTGACAGTCAGGCCAAAGTCTGTGCGCACTACAGCATCCCTGCCCTGGCGGAACACCTGCACCTGTCCATCTGCTGCTTGGAAGGGCAGGTACTGAAAGATGCCATCGACCTGGGGAGAGATGCAGGATGGCCAAGTGATCAGGGTGTTGATGGCTCTGTGGCCCCTGCTTGCTCATTCAGCTCTAGCTGACTTCCTTGCTATTGTCTAGAATACACTATGCTTGGTCCCACCTCGGCCTTTGCACTTTCCTCTGCCTGGTACACCCTCCACCACTCTTCATCCTTCAAGTGTCAACTGAAATCCAAATCCCCATCCCATTGCCTTCAATCCATTGCTTGCATGCTCTGTCTCCCTATTGGCCTCGCCTCCTCTCACTCTCCCCTTCACTCACTCTGCTCCAGCCACATTAGTGTCCTTGATAGTCTTCCAACTCTCTCAGGTGAGTTTAGCCTTAGCACCTTGGCACTTTGCCAAGAATACTTATTACTACTGTTTCCTGGCTTAATCCAAGTCTTTGAGATATAGAGTCCTGCTGGGCCTCAGCCCCATCTACCTTTGTGCGTACATCATCTGCCACTTCAGTCGCTCAGCTCCAGCCTCCATGCTGTCCCTCTGCACGTCATATGAATTGTCACCTCAGAACTTTTGCACTTGCTGTGTCTTTTCCCACGTCCCCCATTTTGCCTGGTTGCCTTCACTTTGTCCTTCACATTTTAGCTTAAAATCAAACTTCTCTGCCCACCAGGTCGTGTATCTCCCCACTATTCTGACCTCCTCTCCTGCTAGCCACCCTACCTTATCGCCATAACTTCATTCTGTCAGTTGCAACCTCACTGGTCTCTGAGCCACTCCCTGTGCTCTTCAAGCACAGTCTAGCCTCAGTCATTTCACTTGCTGTTCTTTCTGCCCAGGAACCATTGCTCTTCACCTGCTGGTCTCCTTATCCTTCAAGTCTCAGCTCATATAAAAAGCTGCTGTTAGTCAGTCTCTGCCTTACCTTCCACCTCATTCTCCCTTTGTCCCTCCACCCTGGCATCACTGGCCACCTTGCTGTTCTTCAACCCATTGAATTTATTCCTGCCCCAGGACCTTTGCACTTGCTGTTCCTGCTTCCTGGAATGCCCTTCTGTCCACTTCTTGCCTATTCCATCTCTTTTTTTCAGGAGAGGCAACAGAGTGTTATGGTTAAGGGTCTGAACTCTGGAGCCAGATAGTCTAGTTTCAAATACAGATTCTTACCCACTCACTGTGTGACCTTGAGTAGGTGACTTAACCTCTCAGAGTCTCAGTTTCCTTACCTTAATTGAGCTATTTCACAGGTTGTCATGGAGATGAAAAGAGTTGACATATGTCAAGTACTTAGCACATTAAGATAATGTATATTGGTATTATTATTTGAGCCTCAGCTTAAATGTCACCTTAGAGAGTTGGGAACATAAATAATAATTACACATTCTGTTTACCTAGAAGCTTCTCTAGGCCAAACACTGAGCCCTACAGGCAGGATTTCCTTTTCCCCCAGTGGTCCTGAAGATCAGTAGTTAAAGTAGAAGTTCTGTCTCCCACTTCCAGTTCATTTGCTCCGCTCCCCAGGGCATTGACCATGGCCTACAATGCTCACTAATAATAGTTAGCTATTGATGTGCCTTTCCCAACAACCCCACTTTTCCATTTTTATCTTTTTCTTTTAATAGAAAAAAACAGCGGTCCTTGGGGTCAGCAGGTGGTGAATTCCCACAAGGCTGAATGTGGTTTGAGTCCTGGACCCAGCAGCTTAAAAATCACACCAGGCATGTGTGTATGAATGCCCAAAATCCCAAGAGGAGAATGGAGAAGGGATTGAAGGATGGCCATCTCCCCTGGGGGGTGTTTCCTCACTTTCCTTTTCTCTGTCTCTAGTAAGTGTATGCATCCTATGGCAAAAAATATTTAAAAAGGCAAAAACAGGAGTTCTCAACTTCTACTGTGTGGTGAATTCCCTGAGGCCTTTCTGCCCAGAAACCTGCAACATGTAGGCTCATCCATGAGCCATTCACGTACACATTTCTAGCTCCTGATATTTCACATTGTCTCCTGACATGTTGCCACCTTACTCTCTGAAAAACCCATTCTCCTCTAGAAAATGCCCAAATGTACAATTCTGGGTGTTCAGAAAATGAAAGTAATAGGCAGCATTTTCCGGGCATGTGCTGGGCACCAAAGCCTCTTTTATTTATTATTTATTTATTTTAACTTTTTTTTAATGAAAAAAAATTTTTTTTAGGTTTTTGTCACAGGGTGTGTGTGTTCGCCAGAGAGACAGAGACAAAGAGAAGGAAAGTGAGAAATCACCCCCCACTCCAGGGGGAATGGCCATACCACAGTCCTTTCTCCTCCATTCTTCTCCTGGGAGTTTGGGCAGGCACACACATGCTTCCGCGGTTATTTTCAAGCCGCCAGGTCTGGGACTCAAACTGAGGACAGGCATGTGAGAGTCGATGCTTTAACCACAACTCTTTCTGGTAGGCCCAACTCTCTTTTAAATGCCCTGTAAGTATTAACTCATCCGATTTCCACAGCCACCCTGTGAAGTACCTCCCATCCAGGAGACTCCCTTACATGTATTTTTCTCTTTGACGGGACAAAACTGAGGTGGTGAGAGACAGTCACACAGCAGAAGAGGCAGCACCAGCTGGCCTCAGGGCTTGGGCCTAAACTGCTGGCAAGAAGACCTCCAAAGAGACCCCCACACCAAGCTAGGATCCAGGGCTTCTGTTTTTTTTGGGGAATTTCCTGCTCCTCCACCCAACTCTCAATGAGTGGTGTCTTACCAGCACTTTTCCTGGGTATTCCCGGCGCACCGCCACCTCCACGCCTCGGGCCTCCACCCGCACAGCGCGTGTGTAGCTCACAGTCTGGCTGCCCCGGTGCTCGTTTTCCACCAGCACGCGGAAGGCAGGCAGCGCTGCATCTTGGCCACATGAGCCAACCAGCAGGTATGTGCAGGTGCCCATAAAGTCGAAGCGCCGGCCATCGAAGCTCACATAGTGCGGGTCTCCGGACGCCTGGCAAGTCCCAAAGCGGTCAGGGTAGCAACCCAGGAGGCCATTCTGGACGAGGCAGCGCTCGCCCGCTGGGCAGCCCTGCGTGTCACGGCAGCTCACTTGCTGAGTGGCGCCGTTACAGGTACAGCGCCGCTGGCACAGCTCGTCTGCCCACACCTCCTGGCCTGGTGCGAGCGGACGGCCCTGGAAGGTGCAACCGCAGGACGAGGCTGGCACGCAGGCGCCGCCGCTTGCTACGAAGCCAGGAAGGCACACGCAGCCCTCCACGCAGGGACGCCCAGAGCAGTTGGACGGCGCTGCCGCAGAGTTGCAGGAGGCCGGGCAGGCAGGGCCGCAGAGCTCGTAGCGGCTGTTGGCTGGGCAGGACAGGGCTGTGGGAACAAATGAGAAAGTGGATCAGGCCAGAATTGTGGGGCCTTGAGGGGTGCCCCTTTGGGAAGGTACACCAGGGCTGGGTCAGATCAGGCGCCCACCCCCCCTCCCGGCTGTGGCTCCATCTCACTAGGGGTGAAAACTGGTGTCCTCCCTGAGGTCCTGCACCATCTGCCCCCGTCACCTCTCTGCCCTCATAGTCTCTCATTCTCCCTCTAGCTAGCTCATTGTGCTTTATCCAGAGTGGCCTCCTTGCTTGTCCTCACAATCCCATCACAGGGCCTTTACCCTGGTTGTTCCCTATGCCCCTATTGCTCTTTTCTCAGAAAGGCAGTACAGCATGAGGTGAAGAACAAGGCTATTGGAGCCCAGTTGGCCTGGGTTCAAATCCCAGCTCTCCTTTTCTTCCCCATGTGAACATGAACAAATGACTCTGATCTCCCTGTGCCTCAGTTTCCTCATCAGTAAAATGGGATGACACAGTACTGAGTCCACAGGGTTGTTGTGAGGACCGAATGAGCTAATTAATCTACGTACAGATGCTCCATAAATGTCATCAGTATTATTTAGCTGACTCCTTTGCCTGCCTCTGGTCTCAGCTTGAATGTTACTGGTTCAGAAAGGCCTTCCCTGCCCACCCTCTTCATTTGTACCACACGAGCTTCTTTTCTTTGGTTCTCTGGAGATACCTCATTGTTAACCTGTTCACCATCTGTCTCCCCTCTCCTCTCTCTAGGTTAGAATTTCCAGGGAGTGGTACCTGTTCTGTCTCAATCACTGCTGAATCCTCAGCACCAAGGACAGGGCCTGGGGGAAGGGCCTACTGGATAGGCCATAAGAGGTATCCACACAAGCCCAAAATGGCCTCCATGTCTCCTCCAGATTTTCTTTCTTTATATATATATACATATATAACTACATACACATATAGTTATATAATTTATACATAGTGAATATTTTATCTTTTATGATATTTATGCTTTTTATTTATTTCCCAATAGCTCAGACTTGTAACTTACACTAAATGTTGACCAGACCAAGTGGTCGATGGTCACAATAGCTTGATCCTGATTTAACATTAGTAATTCTAACATATACAGTATATTGATACTTGCCCTAATGACTTTTGTGATAACTTCTAATACATTACTGATTATGTTAAGAAAAGCCTTTTATTTAAAAGTTCTTGTCATACAGATCATGTACTCACCAGAGAGAGACAGAGAGAGGGAAAGTGAGAAATCACCCCCTCCTCCGCACCAGGGGGAATGGTCACACCACAATCCTTTCTCCTCCATTCTCCCCTCAAGAATTTTGGGCTCCCATCGGGACCAGCAGTTAGCGTAATGGCTATGTCACTGGACTCCCATGTAGTCGACCATGGTTCAAGTCCCGGACCCGGTGGCTTAAACTCTTGCCGGGTGTGTGTGCGTGTGTGCCCAAGATCCCGAGAGAATGGAGGAGAAGGGCTTGAGGTGTGGCCATCCCCCCTGGGGGGTGATTTCTTGCTTTCTGTCTCTCTGTCTCTCTCTGGCTTTCTGGTGAGCACATGCGCCCTATAGCAAAAACCTCTCCAAAAAAAATTATTTTTGGGGGGGCTCACATGCACATGTGCCTGATGTGATTTTCAAGCAGCCATGTCTGGGACTTAGACTGTGGTAGAAAATGTGGGAGTCCAGTGCCTTAACCACTATGCCACCTGGTGGCCCCTCCCCTAGATTTTCTTTTTTTTTCTTTTTTACCATAGGGTATGTAAGCTTGTTGGAGAAAGAGATGTAGGCAGCGAGAGGAAAAGTGAAAAATCACTCTCGGGGGGGATGGCCATGCTGCAATGCCTTCTTCTCCATTTCTCCTCCTGGGATTTTGGGCATGTATGTACACATGTCCAGCATGAGTTTCAAGCTCCTAGATCTGAGATTTGAGCCATGGTCAGCCATGTGGTAATACAGTGCCTTAACCACTATGCACCTGTAGGTCCCTCCCCAGATTTTATTTACTTCCCTACTTCATGTCTCAAGTCCTAGGCCTGCATCTGATGTCTTCTCCTTCCTCTCTGCTCCTTTCTGCCTCCTGATCATCTCTCAGGGAGCCTCACAAGGACAGGGACAGATCTGTGTTGATCCTTGCAGTGTCTTCAACACCACCAGCATGGCATAGGGCCAGGCTGGGGTTCAAGAAATGCTTGTTGAACAAATGATTAGGTGGATGGACACTGGCTAAAGAGCTTGAATTTTATCCAGAGGACAACGGGGAGTCCTGTAGGAATTAGAAGTGAAGGAAGAGGCGTTCACATTTCTGTGTTGGAACTCTGGAAATTGCCTCTCCTGTTAAGTCTTTGCACGTGCCATTCCCTGGACCTGGAACCCACTTCCTTTTTCTTTTTCTGGCTACTTTCAGTTCCTCCTGTGGTTTTCAAATTGGAATTCCTTCCTTTAGGATATCCTCCCTGACACTATCTTCCTGAACCCTTGCAGACTGGGTCAGGAACCTTCTCTGGTGTCCCATAGCCCTCTTGAACCTACCCCCTCCCAGTCCTAATCCCTCTGTCTATGCCTCCCCATTGTGGCCTTGAGCTCTCTAGACTGTCATTGTCTAGTGATAGGTCTGCCCCAATGTTAGGCTCATTCTGGGCAAAATCTGGCTATCCTGGCCATCATTGAGTTCCTGGCATTGCCTAGTACCAGAATGAACTACAATAGTACCCCCATATTGAGCAGATGCAAGGGGTCCCCTGCCTCTACCATGTGCTCCCAGCCTCCCATTGTGGCATGACTCACGGCAATTGGCTAGCGACCTCCAGTCTCCGACAGAGATGCCAAGCTCCAGACATGCTTGGGCATAGGCACTGAGGCCACGGCATAGGCTGGGCCGGTCCCCACCAACCACACACAGGTCATAGACACATTCTTCCAGGAAGGGTTTGGGATCCAAGATATCATGGCAGACAGCGAAGGGGCCATTTTTTAGAGTCAGCATGCCACACAGTCGGTTGCCCTCGTAGTGCTGGGCCTGGCCTGGGGTGCAGGACGGACAGTTGCTCTGGCAGCCGTCCTCGCACAGGTAGTCCCCGTCATCCAGCTTCCAGCTACTGGCGAACTCCATAGCATTGGGAGCCTGCTCCCAGTCAGGCGTGAGGAAATCATCAGTGGGGTCACCATTGTAGTTGCCACACAGCCCACACACCTGGTCTTGGAACTGTGTGGGCAGGCTCAGCACGAGCTGGCAGTCCCAGTCATAGGTGACCACCAGCCCGAAGTCCAGCTCCACCACGGCCCGTGTGCCGCTCTGGTACACACGCAGACGCCCCTCGCTCAGAGAGGCTGGCAGGCGGGAGCGCTGGTTGTCAATCTGTGGAGGGACAGGGAGGGTGGGTCAGACGCCTGCATGATCTGGCCTTAGCCCTCCGCCTCCTACCACTTGCCTCTTCCCTATTAGCTGCACAGGGACAAAGGTAACAGACCGCTACCTTTCAAGCCTCAGGCTCTTTGTTCTCACAGTTGCCACCACCTGAAATGTCCTTTCCCTTGACGGCTTGTCACTCACTCACTCCCTTGCCTCCTGTCAGTCAAATATTTGCTCAGATGTCACGAACTGAGTGTGGACAACCCTGACCACCTTTTTTTTTTAAGAGAGATTTTTGCTTTAGGGTGCATGTGTTTACCAGAGAGAGACAGAGAAAGAGAGACAGAAAGTGACAAATCATCCTCCCCTTGGGGTGGGGGAGATCACACTGCAATCCCTTCTCCTTTACTCTCCTGTTGGGATTTTGGACACACATGCACATGCATCTGTTGTGAGTTTTAAGCCACTGGGTTTGGAACTTGAACTGTGGTTGACTACGTGGGAGTCCAGTGACATAACCATTATGCCATCTACTGGTTTCCCGACCACCTATTTTAAATGGAAATCTTTTCCCGCCCACCTATGTGAAATGGAAATCTTGCCCTACTACCTGCTTGCCCACCTGTTTCTAGTCTCTTAAAATATCTTTTCAGGGAGCAAGGAGCTGTGGGAGCCTAGGGAAAGGGTCAGACCCAGCCTTAACTGTCAGAGAAGGCTTCCCAGAGTAAGGGACAGCTGAGCTTGGTGATAAACCAAGAAAACAGGGAGTGGGATGGATATTCCTTTAAAAACATCACAAGTGGAGAGACAGCCTGACTCTTCCACCTGGCTAGGGTTATGAACTGAATGTTGGTGTACTCTCAAACTTTACATGATCAGATGTTAACCCCCAGTGTGATAGTATTAGGTGGTGGTGGGGCCTTTGGGAGGTGATTGGGTCATAAGAGTAGAGTTCATATGATGGGATTAGTACCTTATAACTGGGACCCTGGAGACCTCTCTGCTCTCTTTTCATTTTGTGAGCATACAATTAATCATTGGTCTGCCCCTTAAAGAGAGCTCTCATCAGAACCCAATAGTACTAGCACCCTGATCTCGAACTTTTAGCCTCTAGACTGTAAGAAATATATTTCCATTGTTTATAAGCTGCTAAGGCTATGCTACTTTGTTATAGCAGCCTGGTCTGACTAATACACCCAAAGGAAAGAAGTGTGCTTCTCTGTTCCCTAGCACTTTTCTTACTTGTTCCTCACCTGTTCTCTGAACCATACCAGAGATGAAACCTGAAGGTTGGGAAGATCTTAGCCAAGAGAAAGGGCTGTAAACAAAGGAGTAACAGGCAGGGAGGACATTATGAACAATGTCCCAAAGGGAAGACAGTGCATTCACTCACTCACTCAGGCATTCAGCACAGCCCCTAGCAGCCCTATAGTGGGTCTAGCTCTGTGCCAGGCAGTGCTGGGCACAGTGCAATGACCAGGACCACAGAGGCCTATGCTGAAGGTTCTTGGTTCAGGGATGGCGGTACAAACCTACCTCTCTCCTAAGACAAGTGATTTCCATTTTAAAAATGACATAATTCTGGTTCATTACAGAAAACTTATATGAGTGGGATGCCCCCCTCCCCCATTATTAGACATTAAGGTAGTTCACTTTATTCTTTCTCTCTCTCTCTTTTCTATTACTATATAACTCCTCTCCACTGCTCCCCCCAGAGTGTATGTACCCTTTCGCAAAAAAAAAAAAAAATGTACATGAGTAAAAATAAAAGAGAGGACTGTTTATGTACTGTAGCAGTTAAGTACAGTACATAGCTGGATCCCACAGGGCTGTCTGTGGTTCAAGCCCTGACAAAGATTGAAATAAAATGCACAGCAGCTTGAAAATCTTAACTGTATAGTTAAGATTGGTGAATTTTTATCATATATAAATTTTATCTCTAAAATAAGCAAAAAAAATCGTAAGATATTATGATATACATGGAGTCTTGGGTGATGTGTAATGATGTCTGGAACTTACAATGAAGTAAATAAAAAATAAGAAGGGACTGTTGAACGGGCAGAGGGATATACAGATGGGTAGATATGTGATAAATAAAGGAAAAATGTTTAGAATCTAGATGATTGGCATTAGCAAATCATTGCTCTAAGCTATTATTTGTACTGGTGGAGTAGTAATGTATCAGAGAAAGAAGAGCTTTGGGTTTAGAACAGGGACTTAGGGGCCAGCAGGTGGCGTGGTGGTTAAGGCACTGAACACCCATATGACCTATCACAGTTGGGACCACAGTTTGTGTTCTGGACCTGACAGCTTAGAATTGCACGCGTGTGTGCTCTATGGCTGCTGAGAACTAGTGATTTCAGGGAAAAAAGAGAAATAAAGATTTTCTACTGGGACCAGCGGGTGGCATGGTGGTTGAGGAGCTGGATGCTCCCACATGGCTGACCATGGTTCAAGTCCTGGACCTGGCAGCTTGCTTTCTCATCTTCTCTCTCTCTCTCTGTCTGTGTGTATCTCTCTGGTCAAATAAAAAAAAATGAATGAATGAATAAATAAAGTTCAATAAATAAGTAAAAAAAGATTTTTTACTGACAATTCAGCCTCCAGCTCCCAAACTCAAGTGGAGAGGCAAGGGGCAGACCTTCAGAAGAAGACTCCTCCATGGCTGCTGAGAACTAGTGTGTGCAGCATGGTTTTTTATTTTTTGCCTTTTTTTTAAAAAAAGGGTTTTTGATTTTTTTCTTTTTTCCCCACATTTTCTCTATCTTTTTTTTCTCTCTCAATTCCTTTTCTTTTTCTTTTATCTCATCACTCTGTTCCTCATTCTCCATTCACTGTGTTTCTAGATGTATCTAAGGGAACCATAGCCAAACATCCAAATACTACTAGGGTTAACATATTCCTCAATACCTACTGAATCTGCTGCACAAAGGGTTAAAAATGGAATGGTAAAGAGATTCCAGATCACCTCCTTCTGCATGCTCCTGAATGCTCAGGTTGAACTTCAAGAAGTAGGAAGAAACACACCATCCATCAGATGACTCGAAATCACCACAGGGTCACAAGAAATATGGGAAAGCAAAAAAAATACTTCTCCTCCAAGGGAAAAGAATAACTCCTTTTTTTTTTTTTTGAGAGGTTTTTTGCTATAGGGTGCGTGCGCTCGCCAGACATACAGAGACATAGAGACAGAAAGTGAGAAATCACCCCCAGGGGGGATGGTCACGCCACAATCCCTTCTCCTCCATTCTCCTCCTGGGATCTTGGGCACACATGCACATGCGTCCGGTGTGAGTTTTAAACCACTGGGTCCGGGACGTGAACCACGGTCTACTACGTGAGAGTCCAGCGACATAGCTATTATGCTAACTGCTGGTTCCCAAGAATAACTCTTCATCCACAGACAATTCAATGGAAATCATGGAAATGTCTGATAAAGAATTTAGAATATTCATAATGACGAAGCTAACAAGATGGAAAAGAAGAGAGACAATGAACTGCAGAAGATGCAGGAGAAAGGAGCTATGAGATCCAGGAGGTGAGGAAATTGTAGCAAGATCTAAAAGAGGAAATACATACCATAAAAAAAGAATCAAATTGACATATTAGAGATAAAGGCTATAATACAGGAAGTCAAAACCTCCCTTGAAAGTATTAACAGACTAGATCATATAGAAAATCGAATCTCAGACGTAGAAGATAGAATCACTGGCTTAGAAAAATCCACCACAAAAACTGAGAAAACTGCCCCCCAAAATGAGAGTAATATATGAGAAATACTAGATGCCATCAACGTCCAAACATCCATATAATTGATATTTCAGAAGGTAAAGAGACTCATAAGGGCTTTGAAAATCTATTGCATGAAATCCTATAAGAAAACTTTCCAAACCTAGAGAGGCATTCAAAGATCCAGTCCCAAGAAATTCAAAGGATCCCAAATAGAATCAACCAGGAAGATCTTCTCCAAGACACGTTATAGCCAGATTGAGCAAAACCACAGACAAAACAAGATACACAAGATATTGAGATTGGCAAGAAAGAAATGGTATGTTACCTACAAAGGATATCTCATCAGGCTAACAGCAGACCTCTCATCAGAAACAATGCAAGTGAGGAAAGAATGGGAAAATATATTCAAAGTGTTAAGGGAAAAATGCCAGACCAGATCTCCAAGAAATTCTCAAGAGAGTGCCATTCCAGGAAAATTAAATACAGACACACAGAAATAAGAATTCACGGGACTAGCAGTTAGTGTAATGGCTATGTCACTGGACTCCCACGTAGTCAACCGTGGTTCGCTTCCTGGACCTGGTAGCTTAAAACTCACGCCGGGCTTGTGTGTATGCATGCCCAAGATCCTGAGAGGAGAATGGAGGAGAAGGGATTGCGGTGTGGCCATCCCCCCCGGGGGTGATTTCTCGCTTTCTGTCTCTCTGTCTCTCTGTCTCTGTCTGTCTGGCAAGCGCACGTGCCCTATAGCAAAAACCTCTCAAAAAAAAAAAAAAGAATTCAAAAACAGAAAACGGCCAATGTAATTGAAGGGACAAGTCCGGAGTTGAATATTCTATACCAGAATTTAATCAGGAAGATCGAACCACAACAGAAGGTAGATTAAGGATATGAGACTGAACTGGTGAAACAGCATTTTATGACTTTTGACTAAAACATTGCTGATTTTCTCCTAGGCTTTGTTTTCTGGTTTTAAGGACTTTTGTCCTGTCTTGAGCTGTTGATAGGTTCATGTACCTACAATTTGAACATAATCCTAACCTGTTTCCCAGCTTTAAGTTTTAAGCAAAATTTCTTAGCATTTCTATCATTTATTAAAGTTAAAACTGCTTTTCTTGAAATTATAAAATATATCAAAAATACCTATTTAATGACCATAGTAAGCTATATAGCACAAACTAGGTGCTACCTTATAGTATATTCATTCTACTCAGAGTTTCATGCCTAAATTCAGACATGTATTTATAGATATATACATACCAGTTGAACTTGCTATTGGAAGTAGTTAGATTATTTAAGAAATTTTGTGAATTAATAAAATGTGGGGGGGAAAGGAATGGAAAACAACTGTATATATCAGAGATAGTGTGGGAGGAGGGTGGGAAATGGCAGAGGGTCAGAAATAGGGGTAAAAAAATATATACACACACATCATATATATATGTATACATATATATATATGAAACTAGAAATGGAAAATTATTGATGATAACATGCATGATTAAGCCACTATGCAGTATATTCTGGAGGGGAAATCACATTTTGTATGCTGTGATGATGTGCTCAGGGAATGAATATTAATTAATTTAAAAAAGTTTCAGAACAAAATAAAAGCTCTTGGAAATAAATATGTATAATGGAAAAATTATGTATGAATTTCAAAAAGTTTTTGTACCAAAATAAATTCATACTTTAATTGTAAAAAATTTTTAAAAAGATTAAAAAAAAGAAATTCATGTGTGTACATGCAGGTGTATCTACAATCACAAGAGGAGAATGGAGGAGAAGAGATTGCAGAGTGGGCATCCCTCTTGGGGGTGATTTCTTACTTTCTCTCTCTCTGGTGAAGCACATGCCCTATGAATAAAGAAAAAAAAAAAAAAAGAAAAAAGAACAGGGACTCAGGAGGCAGCCGGTCTGTGATCCCAGCTCTGCCTCTTGCAGACTCTTAGCCCTTGGGAAGGCACTCACCTCTCAACCTCAGCTTCCTCATCTGAATATGCTCATAATAATAATGCCTACTTGGGTTGCTATGGGCATTAAATACATCAATGCACGGAAAGTGTTAACAAACAGATCTGGTACAGAGTAGGTGCTCACTAAGCTTAGTAATCTTGTCACTTCGGAGAACCCACATTTTGATATTAAGGTAGTTCACTTTGTTATTTTTTTTCTCTCTTTTCTATTATTATATAAACCTTGTCTGCATAGCTTCTTCTCCTGAACCATCTTTCTGAGCATCCTTAAAATTTTTAGAAGTGTAACTGCTGGAGGAAAGGACTTTGAGGTTCTGCTACTGATTTTCTAAATCTCCTTTCCTACCACTCCCCTCTGCCCACGGCTCGCACCCTTCAATCCATGGCAAGGGTTTAGGATTGAGGTTTGACCCCTGGTTTTGCCTCCATCTAGAACTAGCAGTTCTCCGGAGTTAAGCTCTAAAGCCTCTGCGCACTCACCCGGGCAAAGCCGACTTCTCCGCGCGCCAGCGACACAGAGTGGCTGTAGGCGCGCACGGTGACAAAGCCCACGTAGGAGACGCGACGGCTGCCGCGGTGCTCGTTCTTGGCCTCCACACTGAAGGCGGGCAGATTTTCATCCATGCCGCACAGCTCGGCCATGGTGTACGAGCAGGTGCCCATCATATCGTAGCGACGGCCATCGAAGGTGGTATAATGGGGGTCACCCTGAGCGCGGCAGACCGCGGCGGGCTCTGCCACGCATTTGGCCTTCCCTTCCACCACCTGGCAGCGCTGCCCGGCCGCGCACTGCACGCCTTCACAGGTGGGCTCCTCTTCTCGAAGCACAGCTAGGGAGGGGAGAGGGGCGAAAACAGTCAGAAGGGCACCGAGGCAGGCACTTCGGAGTGCTTTAGCTCTGGGGAGTTTGGGCAGTTGGCTCACAAGCTCCTGTTTTAGAGGTGGGAGAACTCAAGTCTGGAATCTTGCTAGATGAGAGCTGCTCAGGTCTTTCTGAAAACTTCAGCTTTGTGGAGTCCCTAGTTTAACACAGCTCAGACCTGAAGAATGGAAGTTAGGGAAGGGGGGCAGCAAGAACAAGGCATTGAAGTGTTAATTTATGTTTTTCTCTTTCTGCCATCACCTCCACCTTTTTATCAGTCAAAAAGCTGAGGGATTTGTGTGTGTGTGTGTGTGTGTGTGTGTGTGTGTGTAGGTTTTTGCAATAGGGCTTGGGGGTTCTCAGAAGAGAGAGAGAAAGAGAGAGAGAGAGAGAGAGAGAGAGAGAGAGAGAGAGAATCGTCTCCCACCCCCCCGGGGGGGTTGTTATGCCATGCCACAATCCCTTCCTTCCCATTCTCTTCTCAAGATTTTGGGCATCCACCTGCCCACTGTGTTTTTCAAGCCACTGGGTTTGAGATTTGAACAGTACAGCTGGCCATGTGGGATCCAGGGCTTTAACCACCACACAACCTGCTGGCCTAGGTTAAGGGATTTTTTTTTTAAGGGCAGAAAATGAAAGAGACTGTTCAGTGGAATGAAAATGAGTGTGGTCTTTGTTCAACTGATTAGTTCTGTGACACTGGCCAAATTATTTCAAGTCCCCTATGCCTCAGTTTCCTTGTCTGTAACATGGGTATGATGATAACCATTTTTTTTGTTTTTTTGGAGAGGTTTTTGCTATAGGGTGCATGTACTCGCCAGAAGGACAGAGACACAGAGATAAAAAACGAGAAGTCACCCCCAGAGTGGATAGCCATGCTGTAATCCTTTCTCCTCCATTCTCCTCTTGGGATCTTAGGCATGCATGCACATGCACCTAGCATGAGTTTAAGCTGCCAGGTCTGGGACTCAAACCGCGGTCGACTACATGGGAGTCCCATGACATAACCATTGCACCAACTGCTGATCCTTCTAATTTTTAAAAAATTTATTAATTTTAAATTTTATTATCATTATTCTTCAGTTTTGACCAGAAAGACAGACAGAGGGAAAGGGAAAGTAAGAGAGCAAACCACCAGGTCCAGGATTTGAACCGTGGTCAGTCACGTAGGAGTCTAGTGTCTCAACCACCATGCTACCTGCTGGTCCCAGTAACCTTTTAACTATGGATATTTGGTGGGGGAGGTGTTGTCAGGTTTATATAAGCTAAAACATTAGTAAGTTTGGAACTTAAGGCAGGTGTTAAATTGATAAACCTGTTATCATTAACCACTCACCCTGCCTTTATTTTACATTCTGCTATGCAAACCCAAAGTGGCCCCTTCAAGTTGGGTGGCCTCTCTGCCCTAGGAAGCAGAAAACAGTGGTATTTTTGCTAGATGGGGAATCCAGTATATAGAGCCCTAACTTGGGGGAGACCACATAGAAACATCTCTTTCTCTGTCTGCATCCCAGTCTTCAAAAGATTTACTTTCTGACTCCTTATCATAATAGCTCATTCCTGGGACCGGCAGCATAATGGCTACATCGCTGGACTACCATGTAGTCAACTGCTGTTCGAGTCCCAGACCCAGTGGCTTGAACTCACGCTGGGCATGTGTGCATGCGTGCCCAAGATCCCAAGAGGAGAATGGAGGAGAAGGGATTGCTGCATGGCCATCCCCCCTGGGGGGGTGATTTCTCGCTTTCTGTCTGTCTCTCTCTGTCTGTCTGGCGAGCACATGCACCCTATAGCAAAAAACCTCTCCAAAAAAAAAAAAAAAAAAAGAAAGAATAAAAATAGCTCACTCCTAGGTAGCCTCTAATCATTTGTCAGATACCACTCTACATGCTTACAAATGTAGCTCATTCTAGGGTCAGTAGGTGGTGTGGTGGTTAAGGTGCTGGATTCCCACATGGCTGACTGCAGTTTGAATCCTTGACCTGGTGGCTTGAAAATCATGCCAGTCCCAGGTGTGTGTGAATGCCCAAAATCCTAGGAGGAAAATAGAGGATAAAGGGTGACCATCCCTGTGGAGAGTGATTTCTCATTTTCCCTCTCTCTGTCTCTCTCCAGCCAGTGCATGTTGTCTATGAAAAACAAAAAAAACCTTAAAGCAAACAAATAAATAAATTTTTGGGCCAGCAGGTGGCACAGAGGTTAAGGCAGCTGGATCCCACATGCCAACCGCACAGTTTGAGTCCTGGACCTGGTGGCTTGAAATTCACTCTAAGCATGTGGGTATGCATGCTCAAAATCCTGACAGGAAAATGGAGGTGAAGGAATTGTGGTGTAGCCAACCCCTCTGGGGGGGTGATTTCTCACTTTCTCTTTCTCTGTGTCTCTGGTGAGCAAGTATGCCCTATAGCAGACAAAAACAAAAACAGGTTTAGCTCATTCCACTCTCACTACAGTCCTCTGTGGGAAGTGCAGTTATTATTCTCATTTTACAGATGTAGGAGTTAAAGCCCAGAGAGGCAAAGTTTGCATGTCCAATGTCATGCAGGCAGAGCTGGGATTTGAACTGGGGCTCTCTGGATCATCTGTGTCCTAAAATATTATGCTACACTATGTCAAAACATGTGATGGCCTGGGACCAGCAGTTAGTATAATGGCTATGTTGCTGGACTCCCATGTAGTCGACTGTGGTTCAAGTCCTGGATCTGGTGGCTTAAACTCACGCCAGGCGCATGTGCATGTGTGCCCAAGATTCCAAGAGGAGAATGGAGGAGAAGGGATTGCAGTGTGGCCATCCCCCCCCGGGGGGGTGATTTCTCACTTTCTATCTCTCTGTCTCTCTCCATCTTTCTGGTGAGCGCACGAGCCCTATAGCAAAAACCTTTCCAAAAAAAGAAAACAACAGCAACATGTGAAGGCCTTAGAAGGAACGTGTTATGCTAGGAGATCCTGGTGATCATCGTTAGTGTCCTTTTAGATCTCCTGAGTTCAGGCATCAACTTTCTTATAAAAGGTGTGAGGAATGGTAGTTAGCAACTGATATAACTATTAGTTGCTACAATGGATACATCTTTCCAACTCTTTGGGAAACACTGCTAACCTCACCCCACCCTTATAGAAACCCTCTCCTTGGCACCTGGTTCTCCCTAGGACCCCTTCCCTGACCTCCCCACAAACCAACAGATGTGAGCGGATGTTGGCATGGAGGGGTCTTTCAGACCCCTGCTACAGTGCTCTGGTTGTTGTGGGTCTCTTCTGATTGGTTGCTAGATATTTCAAATATTGTTCCTGTTGGGATGGGAGGGGCTAGAAAGACTTAAGGAAGGATATCTGTGAGGATAAAGGGGAGAAGGGACAGCCCAATTGAGTCAGGAAGCCACAGAGGAACAGGAAATAGGAAAGGGGTCACCAGGTGGACAGTGCCAGGGGTTATTTCCCATTACTCACTCTGGCCACAGGCAGCTGCTGTCCCGTAACCCACAGCACGGGCCATCCCGAGGGTGAGCAGCCCAAAGTTGGTAGTGGCTTTAGCCACATGGATCCTGTCAGCAGTACCGAGGTCCACTTCGGCATAGGAGAACTCGCTGCCTGGCACAGCCACCCAGGTGAGCTTCGCCCCCAGTGCATGGCCGTCCATGGTCAGCTTATCAGTAGCCTTCACTGGGGCCACCACCAGGGCCACGCCTATAGCACCTGGTACACTCTTGACCACGTAGGCAGGGCAGTAGGCTGCCACATCTGGGACCACGACCAGGTAGGGATCATAGGTGATTTCATCCCTTATAGCACCAGTGCCAAACAGCAGGACCTGGATGCCTACATCTGCAGACAGGTAGAGTGGGTGGGATTGTCGGAGCTCGAACTCTAACACGTCACCCATCTGGAGACCACGGGAGCCGATGATACCCCCCTGGTTGTAGGTCAACTTTGTGGCCTGGCTGGCCACAACGTAGACAATATCATAACGGGCTTGGGAGGGCAGAGGGGGCACCACATAGTGGGTACCCCAGGCAGATGTGGGTAGCAGCTGCTCCACTACATGGTTGCAGTTTGTGTGTTTCTGGGCACAGCTGTGGCCCGAGAAGACAGCCACTGGGCTACTGGAGGTGACCTTTGACCCCGAGAGGTCAGCTGTACTTTGTATCTGGGCCACGTTGTAGGGCTGCAGAGTCACACTAAGAACATTGCCCGCTGAGTAGAATTTGCCCTGGAATGTCACTGCTCCTGTTAGTTTGATACTGACTGAGGCGCCTGCTGCCCCGGCCACCACAGCAAACTCCTTGACATTCTTGGCTGAGGTGCCAGGGGGTGTGAACACAAAATACTCGGTGCCCAGAGCACGGACAGGCCGCAGCAGTGTAAGCTCTCCTGTGTCGGGCTTAGTGTTTAATGCCTGCACAGAGATGGTGCGGTCAGAGTGGACCACCACTGCATGCTGAAAGGTATTGCTACCGGTCATCTCAGCCTTGGCACTGATGTTGACCATGACAGATTCCCCAGGTCTCACTGTGACATTCTGTAAAGTGCCGTCTGCCTGGCTGAGGATGGAAACCAAGGTGGGGTTTTCTGACAGACTGGAGATGAGGAGGCGGAGGGAGGCTTTGTTGTACCCAGGCAGATAGTTCTGCAGGAAGGCGGCGAGGAATTCCTCCCCACTGGTGTTCTTGGGGTCCACTGAGGCCTCCTGGGTCAATCCTAGGGTGAGAAAAGGTAGTTGTGGGTTTACTTTGTGTACCCATTAGAGAAACAACCCTTTGCCCTGTACCTGGAAACATGTTGAAGTATTGGGCTTTCCCCTTCTTTTTCCCTTCCTCTTATTCATGTAGCATTCACCTAAAAGCTTTTCTGGCTTTTGTTTTCCAAAAGCTTGACCTCTGGCTATGGCTCTCAAACTCGAAATGCTGATGTGACCAAGCAAGTAACATGAATGTGTGAACCCTCTGTGGTAGCTTCCCTACATCAGCTACAGCTTTATTGCTGTTAGCTTTAGCTTCTTGTTACTATTGAAGGATCGTGGACTTTTTTTCCCCAAAGGTCAGATCTCCCCTCCCCCCTTTTTTTTTTAAGTTCATAATTTCTTCCATAAGAGAGAGAGAGAGAGAGAGAGAGAGAGAGAGAGAGAAATGCACCTTCCAATGGAGTCTTCGTGCTGCAATCCACCCCCAGTCTAGCCAGCCTGGCTCATGAGTGTATGCTTGCATCCTTGGTGTACTTAGGGAGGTCCTGAGACATGAGCCTAGGACCTTTCCCATGTGGGTCCAATTGTGTTACCACTGCACCGTCACCTGGCTCCAGATCTTCCCAATTTTCAAGAGAAATTTGCAATCTGATTTTTTAAAAAGAGATTTTTGCTATAGGGCATGTGCTGCTTGCTGGAGAAACAGAGAGACAGAAAGGGAGAAATCACCGTCCCCAGGGGGAAGGTCATGCCCCAATCCCTTCTCCTCTCTGGATTCTAGGCATGCACGCACATATGCCTGATGTGAGTTTCAAGCTGCCAGGTCTGGGACTTGAACCGTGGTCGGCCATGTGGGAGTCTAGCTGCCTTAACCACCATGCCACCTGCCAGATCCTGCAATCTGAATTTTTATGTGAAGTCTCCAAACAAAATTGTTTTAAGCACTTTGGAGCCCAAATCAACTGGAATCAGCTGCTAGTGTGAGGTTTCTGTCTTAAAAGACTTGGTGGTTTTGTGTAAAGGGTATAAAGGGAAGAAGGGGATTATGGGACTGTGGACTAAAGTTCTCCTAGAAATAAAGGGGAGTTGGGGTGTGTCAACATCCCTAACTAGGAAGAGATTCTCCAGGACTGAGAAAAGAGAGAGGTCTAAGGAATCTCAGACAGAGAGCGTGTGGGGGTTATGGAGTGACTACTCGCTGAATAAGGGAAGCCTGGGGGGACATTCCAGGGCTCTCAGGGTCAGGGGGTCAGGAACAAGGAATATTTCAAAAGTAGTCTGTGGGCTAGATGGTAGCACAGTGGTAAAATACAACACTGAGAGGCTGACCCACATGGAAAGGTTCCAAGTTCTCTTGTGGAGACCTCCCTGAGTACACTGGGCACATGTGTGCCCATAACCTGGCTGAAGCAGGGAGTGGCTTGTGGCATCAAGACCCATTGGGGGTGCTGTTCTCTATCTCTGCCTCTTTTGCTTATAAAAGAAATAAATACATAAACCTAAAATAAAAGTAACCTTGGAAGGATGTTGACTGGTGGCTAGAGGGCCCAGATATCCCAGTCTTTTACTGAGACTCTAAACCTGGACAAAGACTTGGGAGGACTGAGAACAATGCACTCCAAAAGTGACTTTTTGAAATTTTCCACCATCTTAGCAGAATGGAACTAACATTAGTTAAGGAACAAACCTTAGCTGAGTTGCAGAAAACCAAGAAAGGATTGTTCTCATACTCTTGAATATGGGGACTAAAGTTTTCACCTGCTTTTCCCCAGAAAAGAGAGAAAAGTGGGAGGATTCCATGACTTTTCTCTGTAAAACCTAAGGGCCTCTCTCCTATCTCAGTTACCCGAGGGGTACATGCAGAGGAGAATTTGTGCAGGGAACACAAATGAGTTCTGACCCAGCTAGGCAGAGTTCACGAGCCTGAAACAGGAAATAGATAGGGTCTCAGTCTGACTTACCCCACAGGAGGGCTGCTCCAGCCCAGAGTGTCCACCAGCTCCGCAGGGAACCCATGCCTACTGTAGGAAAGAGAGGGTGGTCATATGAAGCTGGCCACTGCCTTTGCTGGAGCCTGTCCTAGAGAGGACAGAAGGGCCCAGTCTTAGGCAAGGGGCAACCTGGGCACTAAAAAGGCTGGGGTAGGGAGGGAAGTCAGGCATGCAGGGTGAGGTGGGCAGGATCTAGGGACCAGGATGTATGTTTTGGGGAGCTGGCTGTCAGGGGGTCTGGGTGGGCTGGAGGGGCAGAAATCAGGAATGGGATGGGAGCTGAGTGCCCAGTGACCTGTGGAGTAGGATGAAGAGGTCTGGAGCCAGGGGCAAGAATAGGAGACCAGTTATCCTACTTCCAGAGGGAACTCCAGTCATTCTCACCTGCAGGTCCCTGGAGCTGCTGGGTCAGCCTGTGGGCTGGGCTATATAGTGGAGTTTCTTGGCCCCTCAGGCCACACCCTGAACCACCTGCTAGGCAGATGGTGCCAACTTCCCGAAGGAGGCTGCTGATTTCAGGGCCAGGTGGAATTGGGAGCCCTGAAAACCTGGGAAGGGTGGAGAACACCTGGGTCCTGAAAACAGTATGACAGCAGCTGGTGGCTGCACCTAGCATCCTACTGGAAACTCCAGTCCTGGAAGGGTGGTGTCCCTGAGCGAGACAGTTGGGCAGCAGGCTGGATGAGAGCCTTGGTCCCTGAGCGGAGGTAGGGTGGGGGGAATGGGGGCAGGAGGCAGCACTCGGTCATGTTTGTTGGCTTGCTGGCTAGATTCCTTTGCCTCCTGCCAGGAACAACAGCAAAGGACCTATATCCGGGTCCTAGCTCCTCCCCAGACTCCTTGGTTCCTGGCCACCCACATCCTGTTTCTGGTCATCTCTGGGATGCAGGGGTCTCTAGATAGGCAGAAGTCTGAGGCCCTCACCCGGGCTCATGGAGCAGGACCAAATAACTTCCCCTGAGCCCAACGGGGCCTCTTGGGTTCCTCATCTACAAAATGAGAATGTAGAAACTAGCTTCACTGGAGTTATTTCTCTCCCAAAGGGAAATCTGTAAATTCGTGTGCACTGTAGGTAGGAGGCTGCTTCTGCTAGTCCCTGGCTAGGGAGGCGGGTGGTACGTGGGGGTCTGAGGTCATGTGTGAAGAAGGGTGGAGGCTTCTGTTTCCTGGTTCCACGCAGACACCTGGGCTCTACTTCCTGGAGAATTATTTGATTTAGGATTTGCTTTTTTTCCCCCTTGCACTCTGAAAGTACTGGCTGAGCAGGTTGTGAGTGACTTTGTGTGTGCCATTACCCCAAATTTGCCCAAGATGGGAGGTTAGGGTATAGGAGGCATAGGGGAGCAGAAGCAGCTGATAGGTGGTGTGGGTGCTCTGAGGTGGTGCCAACTTCTCTGAGGGGCTGGCCGAACTCTTGTCCTGCTCACCTCCTCCCTGCCTAGGGACTCATTGTTTGCTGGGAGCCTCCCCTGGAGACAACAGCTGCAAAGCCTAGGTGTCCTACTGGCCCACACCCCAGCAGCTGCTGCTCAAGGGCCTTCTTGTCTCTTATCACCAGGCCTGGACCTTGGGTAGCTCGCATGGGTACGGGCTCTCCTCAAGGGGTATTGATCACACTCCCAATCAACCCAGGGCAGGTTCCTAGAGGGAATGATAAGGGTTGAGAGTTGACTGAGGCCTAAAGTCAACCAGGAAAATGAATTGAGTAAACAGGAGACTGTGATAAAACCCAGAGATACCAAGAAACAAGTATGGGAGGGGGGCCCATAGGGAGTGGGAACTTTGGAGGCAGAGGTGCCTGGGCCCCTGGGGAGTCTGAGAGTTGGTAGAGGGTACTACTGGGTCCCTCAGGGAAATAAGGACCAGGAAAAGGGGATGCTGGGATTGCTAAGGAGGAAACAGTGATTGCAAACCAAGATGTCCAAGTCTTTTATGACACAGAGTACTCCTTTTGTAGTCTGAGAAACTTAAAGGAGGAGGAGAGGCAAAGGATTAAGGGTGATCCTGGGGTGACTTTGGGGGTGATTCTGGCCCTCCATCACCACTGAGCCTTGGGACTTCCCTGGTTGACTCCAGAGAAAAGCCTCCCCTGCTTTAAACTCCACTGTTGCCCTTGCAATCAAAGCTCCCAGATATGGATGGTAGTGGGAAGTGTCATGAATTAATACTTTGCAAGGGGACTTCACAAAGTTCATGGATGGGCCGACACCATGGTGCAACTGTAATGCACTGCTCAAAAGAAGCTGGCTCCCACATGACAACTGCAGCTTGAGTCACCAGGCTGGCCAGCCTGAAACACACTGGGCACATCCTCCAGGCTGAAGGACTGGAGAAAAGGGATCGTGATGTGACCAGACCCGTAGAGGGTGCTTCTCTCTCTCTCTCTCTCTCTCTCATGTGTGCTTATATGCATTCTATCATGAATTTAAAAAAAATAATAAAGTTAATGGGAATATGGAATTAAAATACAAGGTCGTTTTAGTGCAAAAACTTTTGGAATTCATGCATAGTTTTTTTTTTTTTTTAATAATACATGACTGGCACATTTTTTAAGCTGCCAGGCCCAGGACTTGAACTACACAATTGTCCATGTGGGATCTAACCTTCTTTAAAAACCATACCACAAGCTGACACAAAACTCTCTCAAATTTGATATTCCCCTTCAATCTATTTCTCATTCCTTTTAGAGCCTAAGGGGTGTGTTTGTGTGCCCTACCCTATATTGTATCTATTCTCAGGAACCCCACTGGCAACCCCGGAAATAACCTGTGGGGACACTTCCTTATGGTCAGAGCACATTCATCCTCCACTGGCAGCCTTACTCTGAGCACAAACAAGGAAGTTTGTGTGACAGAGCCTTCCTACCTCTCCCTGCAGGGAGGGCGAAGGATCAGAACTGGTCTCACCATTCCAGACCCCAAGGACCCTCTGGCTTGTCTAGGCTTTTACAGATCAGACTATAAATTTTCTCCAGCTAAATTCAGGTTTGCCAGCAAGTTTCTTCATGTTCTGGCCCCCACAGTCTGATTTCCTTGTGCACAGAAACTGTTTTGCTCAACTGTTCAGTGACCTATTATTTGCCACTTGGTTCTAACTTTTCTAACTTTTTTTTTTTCTCCTTAGGCTTTTGCCATAGGGTGAGTGAGCTTGCCAGAGACAGAGAGAGACAGAGAGGGAAAGTGAGAAATTACGCCCCTGCCCAGGGGGAGGGGTGGCCATGCTGCAATCCCTTCTCCATTTTCTTCCTGGAATTTTGGGCATGTATGTACATACACCCAGTGTGATATTCAAGCCACCAGTACTTGAACTGCGGTCGGCCATGTGGGAGTCCAGCATCTTAACCACCATACTACCTGCTGGCCCCTTTCTGTGACATTTGATATTAATGCTTTTTCTTTGATTGTCTACCACCTTGGCTTCCATGACATATCACTTTCTTCTGGATCTTGGGTTACTCTGGTCTGTTTCTTATAACAACCCATTTAACATTGCTATTGAGTTGCCAGGAAAGTCATGGCACATTTTTGCATAAAAAAAGAAAAATATATTGTGACTTTCCCAACAACCTAATACTTCCCAGATTTTCCTTCTCTGCTTCTTTCTCTAATTACCTTTTATTTCTTGAGAGAGAGAGAGAGATCTCTGACAGGGTCTTGCCATGCCACAATCCTCCTCACAGCCTTTCTAGTCAGCTAGGATCACGAGCATGTGCCCACACACCTGGAGTGTGCAACACAGGACTGAACCCCAATCGTCCATGTAGTATGGCTCCAGCATCATGGAACTCTCTAGGAGTTCTCATCTATGTCCACTGATCTTGTGGATATAAGTTTCTGTGATGACAAAAACTTTCTGTATTTTATATTGTCCAGTGTGGTAGGCAATAGCTATATGTGGCTGTGGAGTACTAGACATGTGACTAATATGAAAAGGGGACTGAATTTGTAATTTAGTTAAATTTGAAGATTAAGTAACTACCTGCACCTAGTGTCCATGTTAGACAGCACACCATTCTAGAGCTGTTACTGGCACAGGATCCATTTCCTCTACTTAACTAGGTACCTATCTTTCCCCCATCCACCCACCAGCCTACCTATTTATCATTTTTTTATACTCATTTTCCATTCCTATTGCCTCCTTATAGGCATCCATTCTAATATGATTCGTGGGAATATTACAAATATTTAATCAGGACCAGGTAGTTAAGGCAGCTGGATTGCACATGGCTGAGGGCATGGTTGGAGTCCTGGACCTGGCAGCTTAGAAAATATGCTGAGTGCATGTGTGTGCATGCCCAAAATCCTGAGAAGAGAATGGAGAAGGGATTGCAGCGTGGCCATCCCCCCAAGAGATGGCCCTCTCCCTCTCTTTTTTCTGTCTCTCTCCAACAAGCACACATGCTCTATGGCAAAAACTAAAACTTAAAAAAAAAATGAAATAAAACACACACATTAATAAATACACAAATCATAAATTACAGCTCATTAAGTTATCTCATCATGAAACACACCCTTATAGTTTATTACCCAGGTTGAATTTTTTTTTAAATCTGCCAGAGGGCACACACACTTATTAGAGAGACAGAGAGATAAGGTACGACAGAGAAAGAGGGAGGAAGTATCCCGCAATGAGGTGTGGTCCTGCTGCAGTCCCTTTTTCATTTCTCCATATTGTCAGAATTTGGGGAATGCACATGCACCTAGTGTATTTTTCAAACCATTGGGTCTGGGATTCAAACTATGCAATCAGCCATGTGAGAGCCAGATCCCTTAACGTATAGGCTACCAGGCTGGCTCCCCAGGCCATGTCTTTAAAGAAAACATTTCGGCATCCCTGAATCCCTCTTCATGCTCTCTCCCATCACTATTCTGACTTCTAATACCACAAATTATTTTAAATTTTATGTAAATTGAATCACTAGTCTGCTTTGTATTGTGCTTCTTTCATGCAATGTTACCCTTGTGCACATAACTAATGTTATTTTCACTGCCACACAGTACTCAGGTGTACTATGTACTTACCCATTCTCTT